TAATGATAACTTGTTTCTGTAAGCAAACTGTTAAATAAAGTTCAGATCAGTTTTAGTCGATTTTTTAGTATAAAACAATGAAAATAACAATAATTAGTTTGACTTTTTGTAATATTTACTTTGTTAATCAAAGAAGTAATGCAGAAAATAACAAAGAATGGTATGCATTAAATTTGTTACATTAATTATCATTTTTAAAATTGCAAAAATTAATTTTATAACAAAATAGCATAAAGAGGGTGATTTAAATATATGTTTTTTAAATTTTACTAATTAAAAATTACTTCAAGAGGTAAAGATAAAGTAGTGAATCAAAAACAGTTGTAGATCAATAAAATAAATCAAATTTGAATTAAAACAAAGAAAATTTGTGAATAATGACTGTATAATTATGAAAAAATAAATTAATAATAATCTACTATGATTATAAAACCTTGGTACCAATATGTTATTAAACCTTAGTCAAAATGATGAATATATTTTATTTGTAATGGTCAATATGTGTCTAATTGTTGACGTACGTTTTGTTTAGACATACCTCATTAAAAAGAAGTGATTGGTTAAATAAATTTCCTATTATTCAATTCAATATAAAAAGATTATGTCTGATTGTTTAAAAAATTTTTTACACAGATAGGACAATAAGATTTATAAGAATTTATAAAAAGCTCTTTAGCAAGCCCATGCCTGAAGATAGTAGCCAACAATTCGCTACTTTTAAAATTTTATTTAAACTTTGATTGATATAATCTTGACCCTCATTTCAGACAGAACACTGGTGAACTATTACCTGATTTTGTTATTATCGGATTCGCGTTTTTAATAATAGACAAAAATAAATATGAGGCATGTACTAGCAAAAAGGGATAACTTAATTTCCAAAAGATTCAAAAAAAAAAAAAAAAAAAACTGTAAAAAGTTTACCATTGATAGAATAAATTTCTAGCATATAAATCTACCTCTTTTTTTTTACCTTTGCTTATTGACTTTTTATTAGATATTCATTTTAGCCGTATAATAAAACTTTTCAAAAATGAACTAGAAAAACAGTTAAATGGAATTTGATTTTTGTTTGTAGATATCTCCTATACGATTAGAATGGGAAATATAAAAACAATAAGAATTAAAATAAAAATGATACATCATGTTATAACTACATAAATTTTATCTTCTCACTGCTTGTCTATCATATGACAATAAATATGAGATATAATAGGAACAAAGATATTATATAATTCCTATCCTAACCTATCTAACGGCACTATGGTCCTTACAGGACCTTGGTCTCCATAGTGATCCTCCTCCACTTGACATATCTTTGGCTGCCCTTCTCCATCTACTGACACCCAACGTCCGAAGGCCCTCCTCTATATCCTGCAGCCAACAAAGTCCAAGTCTCCTCTGCACCTTCTTCTACTAGGGTGTACTTCCATTTTTGGTTGTCTACCACTTTCCATTCTTTGTACGTGCCCCAGCCATCTTATCCTAGCACTCTTAATTGTGTCGATATCTGGTGTTTCATATAGATTTCTAAGTTCCTCGTTTGTCTTCATCTGCCAGCGATTTTCTACTTTCGTAGGGCCAAAGATCTTTCTGAGGACTTTTCTTTCCCACATGTTTAACAGCCTTTCATAGTTGTGTGTCAGCGTCCAGGATTCGTTTTCATACATGACCATTGGCTGAAGGACAGTACGATACACTCTTATTTTAAGTGCTGTGGATATATGCCAGTTTCAAAATATTTTCATTAGAGACCAGTAGCATCGATTGCCAGCTGTTATCCTCTGTCGATTGCCAGCTGTCTTAATTTCTTCTCTACTCTTATTATCCTCAGTGATAACAATGCCCAAATACTTAAACTGCTCAAAACAATATCCAGTCCCCTTGATATGCCTGTTCCCTCCTTTTTCCTTGCTGGTCCTCATATATTTATTTTGTTCTATATTAATCACCAGTCCTGTTCTCCAAGTGGCTAATTCGCACTCTTCGAATGCTCCAAGTAATGCACTGACTGTTCATCCAGTAATCACAATATCATTACATAATTACCAGGATTTAATTAAAAGTAGTTTCGAACATTAATTTATTTGAATTATAATTGTATTTAATTTAGTATGTTTAAGATATAAATTGATAAGATTAGTGTCATTCATGATATATAAAATATATATAATATCAAGGCAAAATAGTGTAGAATGGATGTTGTGTATTAGAATCAATGCTGATTGAAGAATTATATAAAACTAAGTAGAAGATTTTGTCTTCTTTTTTTCATGCTATATAAGAAACATTTTTCAATCTCTAAGTGCAGTTTTCTTTAGTTAAAATTTTCTGTTATATCTGCCTTTTTTAATTAATATTTCATCTTTCAGGTTTTTAGAATATCATCAGTATGACAGCAGCAGATTTTGGTAATGGAATATTTTGGTTTTTACTGCTTATTTTCATTTCTTGGTGGATAGCGACATTTTGTCTTTGGCCATATATTTTTGTCAGTGTGCTGACCCCCTGTTTCCCAGGGCTTAAAGCGTTATCAGATCTTCTTCTTGCTGGTATTATGTTACCATACAAGTGTTCTGACAATATGGTGAATCGCAGATCATATAAGTCCTTGGGCTGAAAACTGAAAGGTAACTACCATTACTTTAAATACTTGATACAAAAAAAAAAAAAAAAAAAATTGAGCTCAATTTCAAAGAGGCAAAGTGGTCTAATAAGGTGAGAGATGACTTGTTTTGTTGAGAATTACTTTTCCAAAAGGGCAGACCAAAAATTACATATTTATAAAGAAAATTATTTTTATTAATACATTTGACTCACAGCAATTTTGAGAAGAATTATTATAATACATTTTCATTATTTATATATTCCATAGTGAATCAAAGGTAATTTTTCAGGACCATAATTGAAGAATGTATTGGTGGTGAAACTGACAGTTCAAAGCTGGTGAATTTCAATACTGAATGGATACAAGAAACAGGAATGACTGTTTTTGATAAAAGCAATTAAATAAACTAATGCACCACCTTCATTAATACAACTTTATTGTTTAAATAAAACAAATAAGCTAAATTCAGAATTCTTCATTGCTGGTATTTATAATTACCTTATTAAAATAAAATAAATAAGTTTCATAAGAAAAATCATGAAAATTATATATGAACCATTCCCTTCATTTAAATCTACAAATCAGTAAATTAAATAGCAGATCCAGTAACAAATGAGTAGAATAATATTCTTTTGTTTTTCCATTTAATACTTCATTGAACTGAAAAAAAAAGAATTGCATTTGAGGGTTTTGGCTATCCTTTCCTGGTTCAAGGAAAATGCTTTATTCTAATGTTTATAGTCATCGTGGCGTCTGGTCCATTGAACATCTAATGTGTTAGTAGTAAGGAATAACAAAGAAGCACCTAAACTTAACCAAAAACAATTAAAGAATTAGACCAGAACCCACACTGTTGCTGTTTGACATGGAGATTGGTGACATGGCAAGTTAAGTAAATAAATCAAAGAACAAAATAATATGGTTACATTGAATTTTCTGAGGAAGCTTACAAGAATAGAAGGAAGAAAATTTTTTAAAATGGAACATTCAATATTTATTATCATGAAGACCTAAAATGTAGGTTGAAATGTTGGCAAATGACATAAACACTACTATAATATATAGTAGGTATCTACTGAATGTTTACCAACCAACCAACTGCTTCTTAGATATTTATGATTGCATCGTAAGGGTTAATTTGTTTTTTTTTTAAATTTACTTTTCAATATCTTTTTGCATTCATGTAATTTTAATTACTTGCCTCACAGTAATAAGGAATTTTAAATAATTTAATAATGTTTATTGGTCCAAGGAATTTAAACTTAGTAAAACAACATAAAATTATTTTTTTTAAAAACCTTATAGCTCTCTCATTTAAAGATTCAAGCTTGTGAACCCCTCCTCACATTTCCAAGATAGAAAAAGTATCAAGGAACCATTTCTTTTTTGAGAAGTCTGCCGAACTTTAAGAAGAAAGCCAAAACTTGAGCTTTTCTAGTTATTAAAATAGTTTTTAATAGGACATGATACATACATACATAAATGTTGATTAATTATTATTTTACAAACTGGTACAATATTTGAGATTTATAATACGGTAATCACGTATTGGAGGCCTTATTAGAAAATTATAAATTTTCATGATATATAGGTTTAGGTATACGAGATCTAACAAAACAATCACTTTTTTTTCATAAAAAATAAAAATATCATGTCATATCATAATTTATTATCCTTTTTCTGAAGAAAGGTATAAAGGTGGTTAAGTTTGGATTTTATTTTGTGTGTTTTTTATAAGGTAAATAGTGGTAAACTGATCGTTACCCCAGGATAATCCTCAGAACTTAAAATCACATGCCACAATTTTGTTTCATAATCATGGCCAATTTATAAATTTCATTTTCCTATATCTCAATTAATTCAATAAAGACTAAGTAAAAATATGAAGTGTTCCTTGTTGTTGAAGTGTGATTAACTATACCAAAGCCTAAAAATATGTTGAAAACATTTCAATCTAAGGAATTATTCAATTGTTTTATAATGTGTTAGGGTAAACATTCAGAATGAACCATGCTATAATTATTTGTATTTTTTTAATTATTGTTTTAGTTGAAATATTTTTAATACTAAATGGAGAAAGGGTGCAATGTCTAACTCTCTTCTTTGGTACTTGACACTTGTTTTGAGCCAACACCTTTTTCCAGCAACCACCTCAATTGAATTTTTTGTTTTATCAATACTACTTTCTTCTCTGTTAATAATTTCAAAATTAGTAAGATATGAAAATACTCGAGTATTGAATGGGTGATTAGAATTAAGGGAGTTTCTGACACATTAGACATTTTTTCAAGTTTTCTCTCTATTTACTGAACTAGTCTTATGTCTATCACAGTTAAGTGTACTTCATTTGTGGTAAAAAAACATTACAAAAATAATTTTCATACTCAAAGCTGATGAAAATTCATTTTGTTTTTAATAATCATTTTATTAAAACAGAAAATACATATATACATTTTGTTTTACAATAAAATTAATTTAAAACATTTATATTTAATGTTCACTAAAAATAAAATAAAACCATATGGATCTGTGTTGACATTATTATTTACCTTGAAATAACCGGAATAAGTTTGAAAAGTGAGATAATGGACAATGAGAAATATACTGACATTACATTAATGATAAAATCTTAAAAGTTGTTATCAGTATAGTATGGTATATATCAGTATACTAGTATGGTAACAAAGAACGAACTGAAGAATTGTATTTCTTCATTTTTCATAATTTATGAAAATAACATTCACTGCTTTTCTCTGGAATATTTTGACTCCTGAAGTATATCTTCTGCTAGACATGGTTTTAAGATTTGACTTTTTCCATTACAATAATACTTCTTTATATGAAATTCCTTTTATTTCAAAATTTAGTACGAGTCAATTTGTTTAACCCAAAACATAAAATTAAATAGTCAATGCTAGAGATATTATTTAGCCTCTAAACCAAATTGAGTTGATGTAATCAGTATAGTTTTAAATAATAGTTCAAAGGAAAAGGGTAAATGGTTTTTACATAAATTTTACAGTTCTCTGCACCACAAATTGTTGTACTGACAAATAGTCTATATATCTTAATGGTGCTGAAAGAAAAAAATGAATAATAATACAATAAAAATAAATAAATAAAAAATTAACCTGAGGCTTATACTCAATTTGAATTATTGCATCTATAATGATTTTAAAAGTTGTTTAAAAATGACAGATATCAAAAGGTTTGTGATCCCTGTTCTCTAGAGGATGGATAAGTAGAATTGGTAATATAGAGTGCAGGCAAAACATTTAACACCGATCGATAAATTTCTTTTCACTGAAACACCAGATCTGACAAACAACCAAACAAGGCAAATAACTTTTTAAAAATTCACAATTTTTTTTAAATCCTATAATACAGCTTCAAATATAATTATAAATTAGTTTTCTTTTACCAACTAATAATTATAAATTCCTGAAAATCATTTTATTATGATTAGAAGTACCTAGCTACGATTTAATATTTTATTGAGAACCCAACAAAGATAATTTAATTTTGAAAATAATCCTTAAAATTACCATTACAGAATGATAAGTAAATAAATACTAAAAAATTATCACTGAACTTGATATAAATTCTTTAAAAATATAATTAAAATATTTCGTTGTGAAGTACAAAAAAAAAAATCAGTACATGGCCATTACAAATGTAGGTTCTTCTTCCTTCATAAAATGTCAATGCACAATATACTATACAAAGATATAATTTTATTAATTAAATTACTATTCATTATTTATAACATTAAATCATCACAATAAAAGAGAAAACTAAGTACATCTTTAAATAATGATAAAAGGAAAAAATTTGTAAAATAGTTTTCGCTATATAACTAAAATACTGATTATACTGCGGGCTGATTGCTTTCTTCTTCTTTTTTTTCTAAAATCTTTACAATCAGTTCAGAAATAAGTGATGTTGCTTCATTTGCCCGAGGAATAACAAATCTGAAAGATTAAAAATTGAAAAACATACAAGCCAAACTATTAAATTAAAATTTTTGATTAATAATAACAAATAACAATATTCAATGTGCATTACCTGTCCATATCACTTATGATGATTGAATCACCATGCGAGGAACCATACTTGAAAGTTATAACTTCAGGTGATCTCTTTTTAGAAGTTATTTTCGCAATGGCAGATAATGGCTTTTTGACAACAAGCTCACCTTTACCACGACTTCCTTTTCTCACGACGTAAACATGACTATCACTTACGAAGAGCTCACTGAAAACAAAATTTGATAAATTAAATCTCCCTCCTGCAAAATACAGAGAAAGAGTACCTCATAAAAAAATGGATAGATCAGAGATTCTTAAACTATGGTGCACGCAAAACAATTTTGACATTGACCACACGTACCCCACTTTTTTGCTTCTATTCAAATAATTCATTTAATAAAAAACGTAGATGATGAAGGCTTTTTGTTTTTGTTGTTATGTAATTAGTTAACATGACAATGTAAAATCCCAAAGTTAGGGATGGGGTCCATAAAAAATTATGGGCTGCTGATTATGCAGATAACACAGGTTGAAGAACTCTTTGGCTAGTTCATTTCTTCCAAAGCTGTAGTAAGAAATTAGGTATACCATATTTCTATACAGAACAAACGTGGTTAAAAAATGAAATTAAATTTCTGTAGGTAGAAATAAAGGATTTTGTCAACAGAGTCGACCTACATAGGAACAACGAAAGCGGCTGGAACAACAGAAACCCCACCCTCTCGGCAACAATCAGTTTTCCCTATGTGAAATCCCAACATTATCCACTTACAATTAGTGTGGTAACTTTTGATCTATCAATGGCAAGGCAATGAAAATCTCGTAATTTTGTTTTTGTAAACTTTACAATGGAAAATAATAGCCTAATAACTATTAGTCCTACGATCCATAATCATTTATAGGTTAAATATTCAGATATACTTTCAAACCTTTCTAGGCGTATATGAGCCTTTCGGTTGATAGAATGACTAACTCTAATTTCAACATTCTTTATTATTAATTTTAGTGATGTTTCTAGTGGGAAAATTTATACCTTTAGTCACAGTTTTAAAATTCTACACTGTAAACACCTACTCTGGAATAATAAACTTCCTCACACAGATATTATAAATTTTCCAACTAGAAACATCACTAAAATGACTTTACTCAAAAATGTTGAAATTGGAGTTAACTATTTTATCAACTGAAAGGCTAAGTAAATAGGCTATAGAAGTTATTTGAATAAATATTCAGAAGGTTGCGGTGAAGTATTATGTGAATAACATTTAATACCTACAATCAATTACGATTTGATAGGCCTTATTCATTTCAATAGATGCAAAGAGAATTTCATCAATTTTTCATAAGTTGCAGATAATTTAAATTTTTTTAAACTGAATTTTCTGTTCGGGTATATAAATATGGATTTGGAATATGTTATTATTACAGGTCTATTAAGCATAATTTATAATAATAAAACAAATTGTTGAAGCAACATAAGAAAAAATGATATGTTTTATAAACAAGGTGCTATTGGTTTAAATGCACTGTGTTTGATCAAGTGTTCAAAAATATTTAAGAATCGTCAACAGCTGCTGGATCTTTCGTTTACAATCCTTTAAGTATTAAACATCAAATCATTTTTTTAATGAATTTGTATTTTACTGAAAGGTTTTCACAAGTTTTTCTAAAGGTACTTGTTATGATGAGGTAATAACAAATTGAAAAAGGTAAACTAAATAAATAATTGATATACACTTTTAAAATTAGAAAATTCTAACATACTGAGTATTTTACAAGCATATTAAAAGTATATAAATTAAACGATTTAAGAAAATTTAGGAATTGAATAATCCACAGCTTGATTTTTTTATAATAGGTATCACATTTCAAAGAGTAAACAACAGTTTACTGCTATATAATACACTAAAAGTATTTATTAACTTAAAAAAGTTACAAGATGAGAGATAATTTATACAAACATATTATGATAAACACATAAAACTTAATAAAAGTGTTATATAAAAGGTATATTTTAAAAATGAAATCTTTGACACTCAGTTTAAATATTTGAAGTGCCTTTACAGGTAATTATCATGTCCACATAGAACCTATTTGATTAAACTGGTACAATAAATTTTGATGAAAAGTTATCATCTAATAATTTAAAACATACAATTGCAGTTCTCTAATTCTCAGAGATATGCTTTATAGAGCTAATAAATGATCAGTATTAACAAAGTTATTATTTCCAAAGTTTTTACAACAACCTTAAAATAATACAGTTATGTGTTCTTTTTAATTTGGTTTAATGTATTAATAACTTTTATTTATTATTAGTTTTTCTTAACATTCTTTTTATAGGATTTAAAAAACTAATTGTAAATAGTCACATATCATAAAATTATTTGAGTTGGAGGTAATATTAATAAAACAACGATAAAAAAAATAGTTTATTAATTGATCCAGAAATATTACAAAATATTTTTCACTGATTTTGATGTCTTCGGAGAAGCTTTTTAATTATCTCACTTAAAAAATAATGAAATAAATTGCAAATCAAAGTTTATTTCATGGATTATTTGTTTTATCGTATCTCAGGAGGGGTAAACGATATCAGTTCTCTCTACCACTATCAAGAGTTCAATCAGGTGACATTAGATTTCAGGGTGGATGAGTTCTCAACACTGGGTTGAGATATGGTTACAGCAAGATGATAAGTCTTACCGCCACACTCAGCTCATGAGATAATGAACTTGTAATAAGAACAATGTCCATGCTTGATTCATTTCAAAAAATGGTGGTTTGAGACGGCCACCAAGATTACCTGGTCTGTCAACTCCAGACTTTTTCATGTGGGCCTAAGGTGATGGATAAGGTTTAAATAAAAAAATGAAGTACTAATAAAAACATATTTGACCACAATAGTCCTACTTTATTTCATTTTCTATGCCAACATTTGAGCCCTTAGGTCATTTTTAAGGGAAGTAAACTTTAACAAATAAAAAAAAAATACCACAAACATAACCTTATTAGAGAGGTTTCGACATTTGACTAATAAATTATGTTGACAAGGGTAATTCAGTCCATATTGATTTTAATTGGTATGTAATGTTAAGTATAAGATGAAAATAATTAATAAGCAATTGTAATTAAGCTGTGATGATGATTTAAGTTTTTAAAGTTTTCTTCCCTTGAAAATAGCCTAAGAGCTGAAACATTGCTGTACAGCTGGAAGGAAAACAGCGATGCAAACTGCCATGTCGATACGTGTATGAATTATAATGGTATACATATAATCTAAATATTTTTTTATATCTAATGTAAACAAATCTTGATTTCAAATTTATTTCATTAGTTCTCATAACTTTATTAAAAATTAAGATTAAATAGAAAAGAAATTTTAGGCCCACCCAGAGTTTTCGAAAATTATTTCCTCATTTTTAGAAAATGATTAATTTCTATAAATAGAAAATATTCATAACATAAGATAATCATTTATCAAACACTCCTGTTTAATAATATTAAAATATGTAATCTTCTTAAAGTGTTGTATAGTATACTATAATTCACCTTAGTTGGATTTAAAATGATTGAAAAATCTGTAAAAGTTGTTTATTCAACTTGCTATAAGTTTTGATAAGATATTTGCTCCTAAAACAAACTTAATATTATAAGCATCGAAGCAAGTCCTGCTTATAGGAAAAGCTTTCACAAACCATCTTGGTCCTCAAAGATTTTGTTTTTCTTGAATATTCGATTTTCTGGCTCAACTTACACCTTCCGTTACATTAATTTTTATAAACCTAACCTAATCATAAAAATTATTTCTATGATTATTCAAACTTATTACAAACTTTTAGTATTAACTAAATTGGATGAACTTGGTGGTTTTACAGTTCTGACTCATGGATTCTCCATTGACGTTTGACATAAATATCTTCATGGACCATGAGGCATAGCTTATTTAATTTAGTATAGCCCATACTTCTTCAGAACTGCCTTATATAGTTTTCCCTTGTATTTGAGAAGGTTGTTATGAAAACACACGAGAAAAGCAAAGAAAAGTCAACTTCATACAACCAAGCAGTTATATTTCTGATCAGATAATGTTCTCCATGCCAACTAGCTAGCCTAGATATTTTTAAAAACTCAGTATTATCCCTTGCTTAGAAGGCAATCCATGATAATGCCTCATTATGAATTATCAGAATTTTATATTAATTTCACTAATCTATAAATGAAATATATATTTAAGGAAAGTATTGCACACCAATCAATTCATCATATTTTTACTTTTTTCTTTGATTTCCTCGAAAACGGCTGTAACGATTAGATGATCAAATTCATTATGTCAGTGTAAAATTAAGCAGTTTTTAATATAATGTAGATTTTATTCTCATTGATGTTTTATAACAGGGCTTTAATGGCTAATTTTCAATATTAGCTTTCCCTAAAGTACATTTAATTTTTTTTTATTTGAAACAATTAACCATTTCACATTGATCTGTGATATAAATAATAGTTAAATACAAAATATGAAAGAATTTTATAGTTAACTAAAGGAGAAATAAGAGAGGTTTATTACAACTATTACAAATAATAGTTGTAATAAAGGAAACAAAGGAATACGAGCTCGCCCGAAACATTAGAACAGGCTTCCATATGTAACAAGAGCTTAATATAATAAGGACTCTGACAATATTATGTCGGATTTTTCATAAATGCTCTCGGTATTATTTAATATTTACTTCAATAGATTACAGCGATATAAATATTAAAATTTGTATATGTAAGAGTACTTAAACAAATAAAAATACCCACAATTAAATATAAATAAATATAGTGCCTATAATTTTTACTTTTACTCCCCCCCCCTTTGTCTGAAAATACTTATTTCTGCTAAGAGGGTGTTAAGTGAAAGTTGTGTGATGCGCGAACCGCACCAGATTTTTTTAAATTGTAACTAGTTCTATCCGCAGAGCTTGGCAGAGCCATACAGCCAAAAATGAATTTCATACATTTACACATGATCTTAAAACAAATAGAAATCATCAGCCATTTCCATGAAATTCACAACTGTAGCAATTAGTTTAAAACAGTAGAAAAAATTTTGTTCAACATTACATACAATCAATTCTTGGTCTATAAAATGAATGAGTCAATCCATTCCAATACTTTGGCATAAAATCTTCTGGTATATCCTGGCATGAAATATTTATATTACACATACTCTGAATCAAAGTTACTACATTAATATTAATCATCTGTTTTGATCTTGAAATTTATTTGGTTGTATAAACTTTCAATCGCTCAAACTTGATTAGAAAGATAAAATACTTCTTAGATTTTCTTCTTATTTGAATAGATATAGAGTCTTAAATACATAAAATTTACTTAGTTAAAACATAATATTTTTATAGAACTTAAAAATATATTTTTCAAAATATTCAGTATTACACAATGAAAATAGCTTTATTGAGTGATAGAGGCAATATTTTCGCATGCATTAAACTCTTCAAAATTATTTTTAATTATTCTACAATTTTATTTTGATTTAGGGAGAATATCAAAGGATTAAAAAAAAAATTCCTGATACCAAAGAATTTAAGTCAATGAGATTAGACTGCAGGGGTATTCATGCACTTATTGTAAATGCTCAATGTGCTATCATACTAAGCAGTCAGCACAAATTTTGAATGAATGCTATATAGAATAACCTGTCTGTGCTAAAGTGTTATTAAGGTTATGCCTGTACAGTAAACAAACTTTGTGAGTCCTTAATTGATTTACTAACGTTTTGATTTATTTTTAAAATACCAAAGTGAAATGAAAAGACTGAGTTGCAGGATTATTTGGTAAAAAATGCTGTATTAGAAAGCATGAATGAAGGTTCGCATGATTCATAAGGCAATGAACTTGATGAACATACAGATGAAACTCTAGCTGTCCTTACATTCCATTTCTGTGGATATTATACACATATAAAACCTTACAATAACCTTCTCCGTGCGTTTGTGAAGTTAGCAACACTTCACAGGACCCTAAGCTGCGTTAAAATCAAGAGTGCTAGCGGCCATATAAATAATTTTCTCGACAACACATTTAAAAAGTTTACAATACTTACTACTCCTTATATAAAATTAAAATTTTAACAAATTTAATCTTGTACAAAACCAACGAAAACCATTATATGTTCATATAACCATTACAATCAGTTAAACAATTTATAAAATCAAAATTGCACTGTAATTAATATTTAAAGTATGAAGATATTATGATATGATAGTGGATAATTGTTGCCTGTAGAAGAAATATTGAAGAGAAGTTTATCGGGGTTTTCAGTCAATGAAAATATAAAGTAAAAATAAATAAATTATATTAATTCTTATTTCCTTTCTGCTGACGTTTCAGACAGAAAAATACCTAAAACGCAGAATCATCAAAAATTGTAGTTTAAAATTACAATGTAAATTTCTATTTGATGTTAAAACTAACAGGGATCAAAATGCATATTTCGATATCCAATTAGAGATTTATGATTGTTGGCCAACATTCACACAATTAGAGAAACAAATATTAACAAGGTTTTTATACTTACTTGATTACTGTAGGGAGAATCTTTCTCAAATTTAGTATTGTATTAAGAAAATACAGTAACTGACCTACGTTAATAAACAGCCATTTAAAATTAAAGGTAGGGCGTTAATAATAGTATCTTTAACATTTATTTAAAACATTCACAAGAAATAAAGGGTGAAAATAAATTAAAGTATAGGAAAGATGTTCATGTTATTGAAAGTACAAATTTTAGTAGGTAAAAATTGTTCCTCATACGGCATATTTACAAGTTAAAGTCGTCTAATGATCACCTACTACCACCAATCAATGAACGTTGACATCCTTCTCCAAAAGCCAGTGAATTTGCAGCTAAACGACCAAGATGGAAGATGAATTATGATTTTCCTTTGAATGGTAAGAACTTTTTGAACAACCGTCGCCTGGACAAAAAAATTTCATTTCATATTGGTTTAGTCACGGCAACAGAATTATTAAGAACACGAATTATGCTGTGAAGGTACAGATGAGGATGAATTAGTTCAAATCCATATGTTCAAGATGTTAGAACACATATTAAATATAATATTAAAACACTGAATAAATCATCAAAATGGCTAATTTAATCTCTCATGTTTCATTTGATATTTCTCAAAGATTTGTCAAGATATTAAAAAAAATCTATACATTCAAATATAATTTATTAATTTTTATGGAATTCCCCATTCAACTTATTTTCTTCCTAGATCCAGATTCCAAAAAATAAAAATGTTATTCTGTCAATGAAGATTAGTTGTAAGTATTACCAAGGCTATATTAGTTATAACTATAATTCTAATGTTTATCCTATATTATGATAAACTTTCAAAAATAATGCTGGGGATGTATCTATCTTCCTTCTTCCTTCCTACTTGATTCCGTTGATTTTCTCTTAAAGTATTAAAATTTATAATTATTTTGGACGGTTCATTCTCTCATATTACCTCTTCAATTGATATTTAATATCGAGTTTATATCTTTCATCATTATCATAGTCAAAATCCCCCCGAATCACTTATTCTTTTTTCTTTCAGCATCAAGTCTTCTTTAATTTTTTATAGTTTGTGACTCTTTCTAGGTTGATATTTTTCAAGACACAAATAAACCTCTCATTAATGAAGTAAGTACCTATTTATCCTGATTTCTGAACCCAATTCCAGCAACTTTTATTGTATTAATTATCGACAAACTAGTTCATGTTATTACTTAGTTATTTCTCAAAATCAGACCAAACACTCCACGGTAGAAGTTTGTCAACATATTAAATATAACCTAATTATAGCAGTTTCATAATAAAAATTCAATATTTGAATTAAATTTGTAGTACACTAAAGAAAAAATCATGCAAGACTGAAATAAGAAAGTACTTCTACTTACGGTACCTCAATTATTAAATAAAATTATTACGGCTTCATCGATAATTGACTAAAAGTGAAATATTAAAATACCTTTCATAAGTTTGCCCGTTCATTTTCACTTCTTGACATTCAAAAGAAGCAATCAAGTCTGGTCTAGTTTTCCAAGCTGATACAGAAACAGTTTCATATTGAGAGTCCTCTTCTTCTTCATCCCCGCCCATGTAAGCATATGGAACTAAAAGAGTTGAAGGAAATTTATCATTATAACCGTAGAATAAATTTTAATAAATCTTAGACTTTGAGAAAAAGTCAATATTATATCTCAAGGGAAAATTTACAATTCTAAAAGCATAGTAAATTAGTTGAATGGTCAACTGGATGAAGGTGATAGATAAAGCAACATTATTTGAGTTATGGGAAAAACCGAACATCACAAACATCTTTTTTCACTACAAGGCAAACATTTACTGCCAATTGGCATATTTATCAGTTCAGATCTGGGCCAACTATTGGCTTTAAGTTAAATGACAGAGAATATATAAAAAATATATTACTTAACATCTTATCCTATATGCAATAATTCAATTTTACCGCTACTTGACCTTTTAATTAAACATAATTAAATCTGACTTTTGTTTGCGCTATAAACAACTACAAACCAGTCTTTAGACAGGTTAGGTTAGGTTCCATTACCGACACAATTTCAACCAATGATTATCGAGATGAATGGTATTAATTCCGATTAGTAACAGATGTTCAGGTTATATTATATACTAAACGGGTTATTGAGCACACTGAAGGTGGGAATTCAATTAAAACAATAGTGATTTAGTGAGTAAAAAAATCACAAGTTAAATCATATTTTCAAGACCAATATAATGATGCAAAAATATTAAACGAATTTCTTAAATTTCATATACTTTTGTTGTATAAGTAAAAATAGAAAAGTTTGAAAAAGTGTTAAACTTCTTATTTAAAATTACTACAGAAGTTCTAACAGATTTTCTTATCAGAGCCGGCCCCTATAGGGCGAATGAAGTAGTCACTTCAGGTGCCTAGCTTTAAGGGTAAAATATCAATAAGTGGCAAATAAATAAATAAGTGGGAATATAAATGTCAACAAGTGGCAATTAAAATGTGTCCTATTTTAAAAATAAACAAAATTATTAAAGGAAATTTTTTTTTATTAAATAATAAACTATTATTATTATTACAAGGGGAATGCCAAAATTGCATCTCGCTTCACACTAAAATTTGCCTCGAGGCCGGCACTGTTTCTTATTTTTATTTCCCTAACATATAGCTGAAGATTATTTTAAAATAATGCATCTAACATTTTGAACTATATTTCACTAAGTGATGTCTGGATGTACTTTTCTGCTACAAGATATATATAATAGTTGTTTTATTAATATATCTTTGTAGCATATTCCTAATTTTTCTACATTTAGTCACATAAATAATTAAATTGAATGCTCATGAATCTCTAGAACTATTTTTTTTTTTATATTATTTCTTTTTTTTCGATTGATTTTATTTTGGCCAGATGTAATATTTTAATTTTGTTCTATTTTGTTATTCTCAAGGGACTGTGTCCCAGAATAAAGTTATTTTTCTATCTTTCTATGTTTTTAAAAAAAAGTTATTTATCAATTTTGTTAATATAGCATAAATATGTATCATATAATAATATTACTTATTGTTGTTAGGTGGCAAATTGTAATATTTAAAAATAAAACAGTTCTTTATTTTAAGATACCTGTAGGGCTATCATCGATAGTAAATACAGCTGAGCCTCCTCTGTACCTTTTCCCACGTCTATCATTTGGACTAACATGACGCTCGCTCACATTTCCACCAGTAGGATTGACAATGTATTCTAGAAGTTTATCTTTTACCTCTGCAGATTTTGATTTAACAACTGCCCTGAAAGATAATATAAACTAAATAAAAAATAATTGTAATTCCACATGCAAATCTCTTATCAAGTATGTACTGTGTAACTCGAAGTTAATTAATAAACAAAAACAAATAGATAAAGATTAAAGTAGATGAAAAATATATGCATGGGGATAATTTCTTACAATCTTAATTGCATTTTTCTAGACCAGTCTACAATTTATTTATTAAAGTAGTTAAATTCCTGATCTGAATCCCTTCAAGACATAATATCTGTTTTCGAATTCAAGCAGTTAGTTCTTATTGACCGCGAATGGAACTATGATGTGGTACCGTGTAGTATTCATAAACATTAGCTATGATTTGATTCCAACAAAGAGATTAATAACTCCAACTAGTATTGATTCTTCATTGAAAATTATAATGAAAAATAATTAAAAACTAAAACAAAATGCTTACCCTATTTTTCCAAACAAATCCTTTGATGGCGAAGTACTGCTACCATTTGTACCAACATTTTGATTTCCAGCTTGAGATCCCGATTCCAGGCAGACGCGGCAGGATTCTTGATTATGGTCGGACATTGTTTCCTCCACATTGTCTCCGAAATAGTTGTGAAGTGCTTAGAAAAAGAAAGCAACTTATTGTACAATAAATTAGAAACGGAAGTAATATCATATTATTTAAAAAATGAACACACCAAGTATACACAAACACTTATCAATTAAGTAAATCCTATTATCATGTAACACTAATATGTACCTTGTTATATTTATACCATATATCAGGACCCCCAACTGTCTCCTTGATATCAATGGGAACCAGAAACTGGTTTATGTAGGTGTATTATTGCTGTTTGATGAGTTTTTAATAAAACTTATTAATATATTTTAAAATAAATATTTAAGTAGAAGTATATTAACTTTGTTAGAAAATAATAATTTATTGATAAAAAATAGAAAAAAAAATTAAAAATAAGTACTATCTAAGGAAGTACTATTTCTAAGGCAATGATTGTGTAAGGAGTTGATTTGGGCAAAGTCACACTCAACCATCAGGTTTTTCCTCCAGTTAATTGTACCCACTTAATCTCTATAATTTCTCATAAAACCTCTGCTAAATGTGACCTGGGAGGGTCTTGGTATGCCAAGATCAATCCACAGTTGATATAACAGAATAAATAATTTTCTACCGCAGCTGGACTCCAATCGAATTCCAGACATGGGAAATAGGAAAACAGTCTAACACACTAATCCTCTGCTCCATTAATAATATAATAATACAGAATTATTTCCCTATCAATATAGTGTTAAAAGTGTTATTTTTATTCCTATGTTAGTGTTTTTTCTTCCACTATTATTTCGTTATTTCAAAAATTCTATTTTAATCTCAAAATCTGCATATCAAGTATAATAAAAAAAAAACCTGTACCACTACAACCCATGAAGGGTTTTGGGTTCAGTACTATTTAGGGAAAGCACTGTTTTTTTGGCCTACAGTTGTGCAAGGAGGTGATTTGACCGAGATCACGCTCAGCCGCCAGGTTTTCTCCCTTAATTAATTATTTCAAATTAAGGGTGCCCAGTTTACAGAGGCTGGGTATGCCCCAGGAGGGTCTACTTACCCAGGGTTGCCCCACGGCCAATGAAACAGAATATATCATTTTTCTGCTGTGAGCCAGGATTCGAACCTGGGACCTTTAGCATTGGAAGATCAGTACCCTACCACTGAGCTACCCCACTCCCTTATCAAGTATAATATTCCATATAATTTCATATTGTGTAAATAATAATATCCTACTATAATAAAACTAAGAAACAAAATGATGACCACACCGCCTGACATACAATTGGATTCAAGTTTGGGGGATTCCCTTCATATACCTGAGAATAAATCGTCTGTTTATTACAAAAAGTCAATAAGTGCATTTTTGAAACAGGTTAACTTTCAGATACGTTTTTGTGAATTTTGATCTTTTTTACCTATAAAAAAACCAAAGAATCAAAAGAAACTAACCATGATAACCTCCAGAGAGAATAGAAACATAAGGACGGTAATCTCTTAAAAACCCAGCAACAACCATGTGAGTGTATTGATCTTCATGGAGGGCTCCGCAGCCAATAAAGCAGAGATGTTCTCCACCAGCGGAAGAACCTGCATCTAAAGCTTGTTGCTGAGCAGAAAGAAGTCCTTGAACGGCCATCTTATACACACTAGTTCCCTGCAGCATCTGAAAATGTTTTATCAAGTGCAATAAATGACAAATTAAGCATTTAAAACAAGCTTTAATAACAAATTAACAACTACGGTGATGGAATTGAAAGGTATCATCAGTGAAATAACAATATTTTTCCATGGAACTATGTCTCATAAAAATAGAATGGGTAAAAAGCATTTTTGTCTAAGAATTATAACAAATCTTTGTTTGGAAACACTTTGGAAGCTAAACAATTCCCTAAATCAGACCATTTACTTAATAAGTTAAGCCAAAATCAATAAATAATAAATATGTTAACATTTCTTACCAAAGTAGGATCTAAGTGGAATGCAGTGGGCAAGTGTCCAGCATTATACTGATCAGCTGGCCGACAGTCGACTAGAAAAAACCTGAAATACAAAATTACATTACATTAAATTAAATTACATGATTATGAATTTAATAATGGATCAAATAAAGAAATAAATAATAAAACAAAGTTAAAATAAATTTATTTTTAGATATTATTTTTTATTTAACAACTTTTACAACACTACTTATATGTCGTCACCAAAAATTAGCTTTCGCCATCTTCTTCACGCATGACCCTATGCATCCCTTCCTTAACTCCCTCATAACAAGTTCTTATCGGGCGAGTTTTCTTCCATCTTCTTTCTGGTTTCCAATTCTAAATTCGCTTGGGCCATAGTCCCTCTTCCATCATCACATGTCCATACCACTTTAGCCTCATAGTTTCAGTGGCATGGAGAATGATCTCCATATGTTCCACTCGTTTCATTTCACTGTTTGGAACTTTTTGAAGGCGAGTGACAACACCACATGATCACTTCCAATGCAGTCCATTTCTAGGGCTAGCAATATTTTTGATTGGATCTCTTTAATTGTCATCGATTTGGCTGAATAGAGAGTCACAATTTCCAGGAATGATTTATAAATAATTTTTTTTGTTTTTAAGGACACTGATTTACTCCACAGAACCGAATTTAAGATCCTGATGATTATTTACCCATTGCTTATGCCCTTTTCAATGTCCATGTCTGATGTTCCTGTCACATTCACCTAGAATTTTCCTTGATATTTAAATTGAGCTTCAAGCTCCAACATCCAATTATCCATTTGAACATATTCGTTTCAGATATTAAAGGCCATAAATACCGTTTTTCTTTGCTGACTTCCAGCTCCCAGTTTGATTATTCCTGGAGAATATGTACATATCTATATAAATATGTAACATAGGGAACTTGGCTCAAACGTTCAATTTTATGCTAATAAAATAGAAGCTTAACTTAAAAAGTGCAAAATATCCAACTTTATACAACTAAAGTCAAAATCATGCAATTAGATAGGCAAAATGATAAAAATCTGCGATTTCGTGCAATATTAAGAAAAAAAAGTACTCTCAAGTGAATAAAATATGTAATAACATGGAAATTCAGGCCATAAGTAATACGTATAAATTATTTAACCTGACCAATCCCTGAAATATTCTGGATTTAATAATAGATAAAACTGAATGATATTTTAAGTTATTTGGTGTTTAAATTAACAGTTAAGGATTAATTTTTTTTTTTAGTGATTAGTTAGTTTGATATGTTGAAAAAAAAATTGATTTTGTTATATTTTTATATTTATAACCCTAATAAAAAAAAAAAAATAAAAAATACCTCAGCAACTCTTCACCTATAGCAGGGGGCAGATGAATATTTTCTACCAACTCCGAAACTGAAACAGGTAAACAAAGTGCCTGGCTAATTTTTTCTGCCCCTTCAGCTACTTCATCGTCTTCGAATACACGCCTTTCCAAATCCTAAAATAAAAATACTTCATTCATATAAAAATATCTCTTGAAAATTTTAAATTAACTTTGAGTCATCGAGGTGGATCGTAGAAGTTTACATCTACATATGGGTTATTAAATTTATAACATTGGCAAGTTATTTGAAATTTGGTAAAATAAATAATAAAACCTATGAAAGGTTTTCTGTTAAAGAGAAAGAGCAAAAGAAAAGAAAACCAGCTTTTGTATTATTCAAAGAGGCCTATCATGTCATGTCGTCATATCAATAAAAAGAATACGATAAAAGTCCAAAGATGTAAATAGAAATTTAACTAATTATATATCTAAAAAACTGTTAGAAAACATTCAATCTAGGTTTGCACACAGGTTTTGATTTAACATAAAATATTTACGTAGAAGTTAAAATGATAGTAGAGTAAGTCAGTTGCGCATTTTGCTCAGAAAGTAAATATTTTTTATAGCTTCTTAAATACATGCAAAAAAGTTTTTGCTTCATCCTGGGGTAAATTCTTTTATTAATTATATTTATCTCTTACATATTCAACATTTCCTCAGAGAATGTTTCTAAATAGAAAAGAAGTAATAATGTTAAAAGAACAACGACAAAATAATAAATATATAACATACAGGACAATATTTATAGAAATTAGAAGGTAGAATATTCCTGAAATACTCTTAGAAATAGAATTAACAAAAAAAGTAAATATTTTGCAAATAAATATATAAATCTGATATATATATATATGGTGCACATATATCAATAATGTACATACTTTGTTCTTAAATTATATACATGTAATAAATAAATATCATTTAAGTAGATATATAAGACTTAAATGATTTGTCTCAAATCTTCCAAATGATTTAACTTAAATAATAATAATAACAGGCTTAGCGAACCCGAAGGTTTGATGCCGACACCACCAATCGCTTGTTACACACCTCCCCCCACCGTTCGCCGTCCAAACCCAGTCCCTCCAGATCGGCTTTAATGCAATCTTCCCACCTTCGCTTCGGTCTACCTCTCGGACGCTTACCATTCGGCATAGCAAATATTAACCTTTTAGGAATTCTCTCGTTACTAAGCCCAGCAACTTTACAAGCCCATTTGATTCGCCGTGATGAAATTACCTCAATTATATTACCGGGATACAGCTCACGCAATTTGGCGTTGTGTAACCGTCTGAACTCTCTGGTTAACTCATCCTTCTTCGGTCCGAATATTCTACGCAATATTTTATTTTCAAAAACCTTAAGACGCTGCTCATCCCTTAATGGAAGCGGCCAAGTTTCGCATCCATAAAGAACTGTAGGCAAGATAATTGTTTTATAGATTCTAATTTTTAAGTTCCGGGACAAAAGGCGCGAACTAAGTAGTTTTGTCACAGAAAAATAACAAGCATTTCCCGCCTTCAGTCTAACCTTAACCTCTTCTTCAATTTCGTTTTTTCTAGTTATCGTAAAACCTAGATACCTAAATTTATCTACCTGTTCAAACATATTACCATCTATATCGATATCACCATTTTTGCAGCTAACCATATATTTTGTTTAATCCACGTTTATTTCGAGTCCTAGTTCTTTACCGGCTTAAATGATTTAACTTGAAACTATAAAATTTACATTAATATCTATGAGGTTGACCATCAATATATAAAATGTGGTAACATACAGAACAAAATAGCATTATAGACAACTAAATTTTGTTATTTAAAATTAGTTGAATTCCTTTAATTAATTTTAAAAAATTGGAATAATATGTTTCATATAAGTGGGAAGTTTCATATTTAACACAACAAATGTTTCGGGTCTTCTAAAAATAATTACCTATGATTTACAAAATTTAAAAATAATGGATTCATTATTTAAAGAGGAGAATGATCCTGAAACCATAGTTATTAACAAAGTATTAATCGCCAGCATGTTTAAAGCTATATCGAATGGAATATATTATCAATAAGCTAAAGAATGGAAATGGATAAATTCTTGTCTAATGATTAGATGATATTTTTTAAAAAATTAATTAATTATGAATGTGCTTTAGAATATTTTAAATTAGAGGAAGAAAAACAATCAGGAAATACTAAGAAGCTCTGTGGCAGTGCCATCAAACATAGAAGATTAATATCATCAACACTAAAGAATCTTACTCCCACCGAGTAATACCAGCTCAGAGGCTTTATTTCATCATTTAGATTATTTTTTTCATTAAAGAGAGGGGAAGGGAGTTTGGTAACAAAAGAACTGGGTTATCTATTATCAATAGCCTTTGTGTTGAAAGTTACTTATATCAACTTAGGATTGCAAAACAGAGAAAATGTAACAATAATTTCAGCCTTATCTATATATTACGACCCAGAATCCATATTTGTTCCTGGTGGAACTTAACAGGCTTTAAAGAATACTCCAAAAAAGTTAAAGCAAACACAAAGATCAGGTGTACATCTATAATACCAGAGCATTTTAACAAACAAGGATAAAAGGAATATTAACAGCTTTTTTTTTTTAATTATTAAAAATGAATGAGTGACTATTAAGGGCACTCAAACAAATTTTCCCCAAAACAGGGGAGAAGAGAATTGTTCATCTAATTTCATTCATAAAAAGGATTCTTTTAAAATTAGTTTCTTTCAAAATGTTGATATATTAAACACCAACCTTTCGATGTCAATAAAATTTTCAAAATATGTTGAAATTTTATTTTAATTTTTTCTACATTGGAAAAGGAACCCTGCATCTCTTTGCCATGATTATTATTTAAAACAATAATTTGGACGAGGGAGGAATTAAGATCAAAATAATTTTTCCTTAATAATTTAAAAATTAACAACTATAGTTTAGATCTTTTATAGAGAAAATAACTTAATTATTATCACAATAATTAAAAGCAAATCTTAAAACTAATATATAAATCATACCTGCCTAAATGAACCAGGAGTTCTGCTAGCATATTCTTGAGCTAATGCGAAAAGATCTTCGATATCAGATTCTTGGAGACCAGAAGGAATAGATGAAACTGCTTCGCACACTGCCTCTTTGGATGAATCTTTCAAAGATAATAAGTGATCCCTGAAATATTTATTATAAATCATGATTAAACAAAATAAAAAAGATTAAATTTTTTTTTAATTTATAAGAAAAACTGTGATTAATTTATGTATTGTAATTTTGAGTATGATACAAACTATGAGTCACAGTTCTAATTATAATAAATAGAAATTAAATGATATTAACTGCTCCTATCCATGTACTATCAGAAGGCATTCTCTACCACGTCCTTTCTTAGGCTATCCATTACTAATAGATGGATTCCACTATATTCAACTAGGTACATTTATTTTTTTTTTAGGAATCTATCAAACAGCTTTTACGTTTTTGAATTTTTAACTTTGATAAAAGGACACAAATGATTTTTGAATTCCACCTATTCTTTATAATTTTTTTCCCTAGTATTTCTTGGGGCAGTGATGAACATCTTACAACGCCCAACTTGCTAAATAAGAATTAAATCCTATATTTGTATATGTATTTTCTTTATGACGATGATAGATAATTTCTGTTTTATTAAGCAAAACATAGAGCAGTATTACCTAATCTTATTATTGTATTATTTCTACTCTCAGTAGCTTGATAATGTAGGAAACAAATAATTTTTTTCTTTCAACACTTCAATTTTTACAACTAAAATAAAATCATTGTTTATTGTAATAACTGTACAAATATTTTTTATAGAGCAGCAATTTAACTCTCAAAAAAATTCTCTGCACTGTTTTAAGGATTTTTTATTTTAATCCCAAAAAAGTTGGTTTTTACTTGTTTTCTTCTATAACAATCCATTACACAAAAAGTAAGTGTTTTGAGGATTTGAGTAATATTCAATAACGGCTAACTTTCTTTTTTTTCCGCTTTCTTGCTTTCTATTAACACAGCATATTTGACCAGTGAGATGAATTAGCATTGATACTCATAAATAATATTTCCTTTTTACACTATTGTTCTTATCGAGAGTCATAAATCTTTCAGTCAATAATTATAAACTTAATTAAACAATACATAAAAGGGGAAAATCCATTGCTAAATAACTAAACAATTTGAAATAAAATTATAACTGGTTTGTCCCCTTGTTAGCTAATTTTTTCGAATTTTTTGATTAGGTATCTTAGAGAGATATATAACAGAAAAATGGAAGGCATGGAAAAATATATCTTAAAAAATGAATGATAAAAGCATATCTAACAAATTATTTTATTCATGTTAATAAAACCAGTTAATTAACTGGAAAAATTATTATTTTTATAATAAGAACAAAGATACAAATAAATGAAAAATAATGAGTACTTTGCATTAATAATGATGACAAGGCCAAGGAAAAGCATGAAGAAAGGATCCGCCTGTTGAAAATAAAGATCCCATATCTTTGTAACGACTGGTAATGAACAAGGTGCAGCAAACAATGTCTGAAACTGAAAAGAATCTTTCTTTATATGCTAGCCAAATTGTAACCATAAGATTAAATTTATTATACAGCTATCTAACCCATGGTGCTGCATAGCTCTCGGGACTTATCTTCTTGGTATCAAGGAATGAGCATAAGTTCGGGTCATGGTATAAAAGAAGAAGCCTGAATAATGCCCATAACTCTCCATAACTTCTAGGAACGTACCGAGATCTCAAACCCTCAAAGAGGGAATAGGTATCTTCCGTGTGAAGTCCTAGGGCAAGAAGAGGGGCGAGGAGGTCTAACCATCCATTACCTAAGTTTAAAAACACCAACAACCAGTTGTTAAATGCCATTAATTATAATTAAAAAAACAAATTTAGTAACATATAGTATACAAGTGTCTAATTATTGATCTATTCATTGTCATGACAACCACACCATAAGTTGAAAGAAAAATAACTTCTTCTTGCCTGATAGTAATAATATGCAACATAGTTCATTTAATGGCTTAGCATTCTCAATTTTTTATTCATAAAAATTTATCCTTTAAAGTTTTTATAATAGCTTAACTGCATTTAAAACATATCTTCTAAATGAAGCGAGGTACAATAGAGCAAGAGAATGAAATTGATTTAACCATATTTAAAGTTTATTTCATAATAGGTCTATTTAAAAGATTTATTAAAGTAAATAAAACTAATATTGAATTTTTTCTGATGTTATTTTCAAGCTCTAGTTCTAATTAATAAATATTTTTCAATGAACATGTTGATATGTATATAAAGCACAATGATACAGGCAAAGTAGAATTTTAAATGATATGTAGAATAAAACAAAATTAATCAATCAAAAGCGACTTTTGCAGATTTAAATGTTATGGTGTTCACTTGAAATTTATTATTTTTAGTGAACTTTTTGCTAAAATATTATACAACCACCAATTCACAAACACACCAAATGTTTAGAGAAGAAGTAGGTATACAGTCCTTCTAATTATAACTAATTCTGATTCTTTAAATTTGTCATCAGAGAATCGAAGATCCTGTAGATGGAAACTAGCTGCTACATTAAGACAAACAATTCTAACAAGAAGACAATATCTTGTTATTTTTCTTAGTTAATGTATCATTTATCATGGGGTATTCTAAAGCTTTCAGCTCAAATTATTTCTAAGAATTACATTTAGTGAAGAAAAATCGATATCTCATTACTGATAGACGTAATCAACAACTCAAATACGACTAAACCATTACGTTTTATAATAAGATAACCAAAACAAGAATTTGAATAATAAATGTTTGCAACAATAGTGGCGATGCATGCTAGGAAAGCGCTCTGTGGCTCTCGGACAAAAAATAAAAGAAGATTAAATTTCAAACTGTTAAGCTTGAAATTTGTTTTGTACAAATAAAACAAATGAAATAAATCTTGATCAAATTAATCAGCTAGAAAATATGTCATCTCTAAGCCTAACATTCATATTCCAGTGCTTTAATTGCAGAACAGAGGTGTTACAACATAAAAAAAAAAATATATTATACTTTATTTCAAAGCTAATATATAATGAAAAAATGATTACTAGGAGATTAAATTAAATGCTAGCAGAACGATTTAAAAAAAGTTCATAAATATTAAACTACTTAAAAACAAATTAAAATAACTCCTTATTAATAAATAATTCAAAATAAAAGTTTAATAATTTTGGAAAATATATTACTTGATTCCCATTATCATTTATGAATAATTTTAAATCAAGATCTACTATAAGAAATAAATTTGAGAAAAAATTAACGAAAAGATAAAGTTAAAGGAATACAATCTATAACGTAACAAGTTCATAAGCTTTTTATTAAAAATTTGGCTTACCTCGAGTATAAGATATCCCTGTGTTACGACAATAAGTTGAAACCAGGCATTCTACATCAGAAATCACACACAGTTTCTCTTCTTCGGCATTACCAAGCTTGTCTTAAAAATAATGAAAAATATTATTTCCAGTGGGCTATAACTAATAAACAATGCTTCCTCATTTTTATAAACCAAGTACAAGTTACATAACTATCTACCTAATTAATATTAGATGATCAAGTAAAATTAATGCGAATAAACCAAGTTAATGAGGGGAATCAACCTTAAAACCTTGAAAAATAACCATCAGAATCTTAAGCAACCAGTTCACCTTTAATTGAAAAGAATAGAAAATAAAAAGAAATCAGCTTCGTTTACTTTATTGACCATAGAACAAGGATAAAAAATATTTGCAGGATAACCATGATCGTCCAACATTGTGAATCAAAATAATAATAATCTGACCATAATGTTATTATTATGAAAATCAAAATGCCACTAAGATTCCCCTTGTTGATCCTTTATAGAAGCTGTTTACAAATATAATATACTTTTGATTCAAAAATGCTAATACAAACAAGTATACAATCAAATTCTAAACCATAATATCCATTGATAAAATTGAACATAACACTTATCTATTTAATCAAAACAACATGAAAAAACTAATTCAAATATATTGATAACATTAAATTATCACTTAACTATATATCATTCCAAATACAGATTTGAAAAAGTGAATAATACTAATTTTGACAAGAATCCTACCAACCACAACCAAGAAAAAGCACTAGAAATAAAACAATATTTTTTTTTATAAGAACTTCAAGCCATACAGTATACTGGTTACATAAACCGATTATTGATGGAGAAAATAATCAACAAGATTTATTTTATTTTCTTTATATGACTTTATCACCTAAAATTAAAACAGTCCATTTAAAAAGGAATATAAATAATAACTCAATTAATTAATAATCAATAAGAATACCCTCATAAGACAAATATAAATCAAGAACTTTTTAAACTGGATTGTCTTAATCAAATCATAGGATTACAAAATATAATCTCTGCAGCAGGATTCTGATAATATTACTACAATTATATCATTTATGGAGTACAAAAAAGCAACCATGGGGCAATTTTTACAGCATACGAGTATATGAATATCTGGCTTAAGGTACAACTAATATTGAAACTGATGTATAAGGATAAGTATGCTCACCAACAAAATTTTGGCAGTCTTCTCTAATTATTTTTTGTTCCGGGAGATCAAATATTTCATCGAAATAAGGTGGTTTATGATGGTTGAAAAATAAACAAGATTTCCATATTTCAGGGCGAAGAGCATCTGGTATAAAAGGATCTTCATTTACACCATCTATATCAACACTTCCATCTTCTTTTAGAGCAGATTCTAACTCTGCAATCCTATGAATAAAACCAGAAATATATATTAAACTTATAAAATCAATAGAAAACTTAATAACAAGATTAAAGTATACAACAAAGAGGATTCTTACCAGGATTGATCATTGCAATTGTCTGCCATTTTCCATTTTTGGATTAAAAACTAAAATCCTCCAACGCAGATAACATTAGAAAATACGACATATTCTCTACAAACATCTGACGTTGCAGGTTTATTGTACACACCTCTGATCTGATTTGATTATCAGCATAGTTTACTAATTCTTCCCAGTGGAGCGCTAGCTGACTGTTTTCTTATCACGGTCGAAATGTTTGTTTTTTAAAAGCATTTAACTTTTAAGTTGCTAAGGCCAGTTGATAAGTATTAAAAAAATCGTGTGGATAAATATTATTATCCGAAAATTATATTTGGTAATAATTTCGATGATGCCCGCAGCCTTTTGGGGAGGAGTGGGGACGCTTATTCTAGAGGATTGTTTACATTTAGGTTACAGTTATGTTAGGCTATCTCAATCCCCCACCACTTTTTGCTCCATAGGCACCTCAAAACCGTTAATTTTTCATATTTTATTGGCAGTATTTTAGTTTAGAAGCTTAATTTTGTTGTTTAAGTGATATGTTTAGTTTATTAATAGGTAGTTTTTTATTGGATAGTTATACGTTTTAGTGTTTAAAGTGGTAGTTTTGGTTTAATGTTCAGTGATAGGTTTCATCTTCACAGACTCTTATTTTATTAGTGATATTTTGTTTAAAAGTTTAATTATGTTGTTTTAGTAATATATTTAGTTTACTAATAGGTACTTTTTATTTAATAGTTATACATATTAGTGTTTAAAGTGATAATTTTGGTTTCTTCTTCATAGACAAAATCGTGAGTATACTTTAATTCTTTACTTTATTTTATTAATTTTCCTTTTTAATTCAGTGGTAATGAAAGAAAAAGATGGAAATCAAGTTTGTAACTTGGTTATAAGAAGCTAGTGTCTATAGTTCGAGGCTACTAGCTAACACAATTTTTATCTTGAAGTCAGTAGTTTCTAGTATAAAATTGAAATTTGGTTTTCCTTTATAGTTATGATTACTTTCATCATTAAAATATGAGTATAGTTGATGATCCTTAGCTTTATTGAGATCTCTAGTAACTAAAAGTAGTTTTCTTTTATGCCAGAATAAATGATATGATACTCATCATGACTGATTTTTAGAAATAGATTGTTGTACTGCAAAAGTTCTGAAATGAAATTATTATTTTTCTTGTTGAAATCCTAAAACTATTAATGTTTATTCAAGATGTTTTTTTATCATTTAAGGTCAAGATTATCATTTAAGGATCATCAACTACACTCATATTTTTAATATTGAAAGTAACAATAACCAATAAGGAAAACCAAATTTCAATATTATACCTGAAATCACTGACTTCAAAATAAAAATTGTATTAGCTAATAGTCTCAACCTATAGAAATATCTTCTATAACCAAGTTTCAAACTTCATTTTAATCTTTTTCCTTCATAACTATTGAATTACAAAGGAAAATCAATAAAAGAAAGTAACAAATTAAAGGATTAAGTCATTTTGGAAACCTATATGAGCCCAAATCAACTCAGCAAGAGGTGATTTAAGAGGATTTTACATAGAGAAAAATGAGGGTAATTATTTACAAGTGGTACTCCTCCGGCCATCTTGTAAATAACCACTTGTAAATAATTACCAAAATGAATATTTAATAGTTGACCGTTGCATTATAAAGGAAGAAGATGGTCCGGGGTTGCGGTCATAAATAGGCTAAATAGTGGTAAAACTATTTTATTGAAAGCCGACGTTTCGACCCGACTTTGCAGGTCTTCTTCAGGGCTACGGTTACTGACTAGTCCAACTACAGCAACTGAGTACTATAGAACTTTAGTTGGACTAGTCAGTAACCGTAGCCCTGAAGAAGACCTGCAAAGTCGGGTCGAAACGTCGGCTTTCAATAAAATAGTTTTACCACTATTTAGCCTATTTATGAGCGCAACCCCGGACCATCTTCTTCCTTTATTACCAAAATGAGTTCTGTTGATGAAGAACACATAATTAATTGTCACATTATTAAAGATAATGACAAGGATTCTTAAGGGGTTTATTGTATTTAGACTTAGGATAAATTCAATTGGTAAAAAGAATTTCCCTCATATGTCTATTAAGGGGTTTATTGTATTTAGACTTAGGATAAATTCAATTGGTAAAAAGAATTTCTCTCATATGTCTATTTTTAGCAGTAAATCTGTAAATGTATATGTGCAGCATTTATAAATTGAAATTCCTTTGTAAATAAATAAATATTCTCTGTTTTATCTAATGTTTTTTATATTCCTTTGTTGATTAAAAATGTTTTCTATTTCAAGTTAATTTGGATATTTTTTCAATCAATTGATAGTTGATTGTATTTTATCCTTACAGTTTTATGTTTCACTACTAGTTATTTTTACTTGGTATATCTAGTGTGATAAAATTGAAAATATATTATAGCCAACAACCTCTAATTTCCCAAAAAAGTATTGAAAAATAAATAAAACTAGGGAAAGCTTATATTCTGGACTAATGGAAAATTCAGGTGTGACAAACATTATTACAATTTATCATATTATGATTATTATTCCATTTCAATGATAACAGGTGTATTGATATTGGTAAATAGAAATTTTCAAATTATACAAAAACTAAGTTATACCACTCTGAAACAAATACTCTCCTACCACCAGGCTTAAAAGTAAAATGAACAACTTTTTCTATTTTAGATGCAATATGCAATATCTACATTATGGTAAGAGGTAAACCATTTCATAAAAAATATTTTATATCAATGATCAGAAATGAATCTGTTGATCGAGGATCAAATTTTGAACTATTTAAATTTGTAATAATAGTGGATTTATAATAGTTGGTGTTGTCCAAAATCAGTCTTGGTCATGCACTTTGCAAGATCAAGACCGGAAAAAAAAATCCCTTTTATGTAGAAAAATTAAGGTAAAATAGTCACTAAAACTTGAAAAATTGAGTTGCCATATGTAAAGAAGTGGTATAACCAATATCATTTGGAATTTAACTCTCAATTTTTCATTTGGGCTTAGTTAGGTTTTCCGTATCTGAAAAATTACAGTAATTTCAGACGTCTCATTTCTCTATTCACTAGTTTCATTTTGCTGTGGAGCACAAAATATACTTCAGAGAATTCGTTGTTTACATTGAACAAACTTTGGATCATTATTCTTTCTATAATCTATTCTTACACCACAGAAAGAACCTTAAAAGTAAATAATGATGTTGCTTTTACAACCCTCATTTCTTAGTCTGCCTGTGTCCCTTAACAGGGGTGCCCAGAAGGGAGTTTCATGCCACAAGTTGCGCCATCAAAATTTTTAAGGAGGCACATGTTGACTGGATTTTGAATTTTTGAGTGAAAAGTTTCAAAACAGAGAATTGGGAAGAAACATGGGACATACCACTCCAGGTATAATTGTATATGATCTTGGAATTGTCTAATCTTACTTTCGCTTGCATTGCTTTTAAGAAGGGGAGTGAAATACAATTTTTGGAGAGAGGGGGATGGTTCATGCGCCATCGACCTTGGAGGGGATGGGCACCCCTTAAATAGATGTACAGGGAAAGTTTGAACTAATTAATATATTTTACTAATTGAACTAGCGTAATGAATGAGAGAGTTGAGAAAAAATATTACGGGAAAAAGATAAGGATAATTTTGGTTATTTTTCTAGAGGGGAGGGCATACAGAAAAAATTTCAATAGAACCTCATTCATCTTCAATAATCTGCATAGACTTTAGATAAAGATATTTTTCCAATCATGTATTTCAACTTTGAAATTATTTTCATTTTTTATATCAAAAAATAATTATAGGCTAGGAAAATCTTAATCTTGGTATCATCCAATTCTCCAAACATGTTAGAACAAATGAATACATTTTCAAGAATTTAGTTCAATAAATACTACTTTACTTAGAGAAGCAAAGATGCAAACATGCTAGTTCCAGCTCAAATTTGTTTCCAAAAAAGTTCGAATCTCTTACTTTCAAATATGAAACTGCTTATTATAAGTAGGTAAAATTTGACACTTTTTTCTTATGTGTGTATTCGCTTCCTAAATATAAAATTTTCATTAAAAACTGTACTGGGTGTCCTGACCCACCCCTGTATGATATGGAAAGGAATGACCCATGGTATTTATTCCATTTAATAAAGTAGAATTTTTATTTATTAAGAAGTAAAGCACTAATTTTTAAAAATATTCTTTATAGTTTGTGTAGATTCAAGAGTTTTTCTAAATTTATGTGTTCTTGGTTAATTTTTGTAATATGGTAATTTCTAATTTCCATATTTCTTAATTCTATTAAGTTTTCTGTGAAGACTTTACACGTAAATTAAGAATACAACAATTTTTATGAATTGAAACTGTAACATAGAAGCACTGGTTGCAAAAGTGGTGTAAGTAATTTTTATAATAAATAATTAATTAAGTATTAAGTGCATTAACTGATTGGATATGCTAGAGACAGATTATTTTTAACAAATAAATTGAATTTATTTATTATTAATTTGTTGAATTTCTCCATAATATTTGATTAATTCAAAACTTCAGTTTTTTACTTACACCATTTTAGTATTCAATGGCTCATGTAGTGTACTAAAGAAAAATCCTTGTATTTAAGTGAATTTTCCTGATAAGTTTTTAAAGAGATAAATTATGATTTGTTGAAGAATTTCTTTAAATGATTGTTATGCAATGATCAAAGATCAACAATACCTCCGAGTGAGGTTGTCACCTACCTCAGCATTAAGATTCGAAAAAAGTTCGAAGTGATAGCTTATTTGGACTATTTGAAAAGTAGAGTGACCATAGCCCTTAACAGATTCAGTTGTATAGAGGGCACCTTTTGGGGTCTCAGATGCCTAGAAACTGTGAGCATTTATAAAGGTTTTATTTTGAGTAGCCCCTGCCTGGAGTCAAAATGGCTCTGCTTCAAGTCACCAGATCGTACAGGACGGTGTCCATAGTATCTCCAAGTGAAAATAGAAGAAGATCGTAGGAGTTGGAAAAGGATTATCTGGGAGGATACAGTAGAAGAGTGGAACTGGGGGTGGTTGACAACTCCAAAAGGAGCAACCCTGAGAAAGTATTTTCCCACCATCGCATCGCGACTAGAAGCAACTTGGGTCCTCCCGGACTACTACACCTCTCT